GTAATACTAGCATTCTTCTAATGAATAACTTTTTAGTAATTTACCCAGGGATAAAATTATGTAGAAGTAAAGTAAACCAAGCTTTGTCCGGTTTGGAAAACAAGAATATGTCTTCATGAATCTACAGCTCCAACCAGACAGAGCATACAAGACCAAAAACAGGAGAAAGATGGCCTGCTTGGTTCCCAACCCTCTTTTCCTGGCACTGCATAGCTGTATCTTCCAACTAAAAGGAACACTTCAAGTGAGCAACACACAAAAGCGCACCATCCTCGAAGCTTTCTCGGGTACCTTTCCCATTCTTCCTGCACTCTCTGACCCAACAGAGGCAGTTTAGGAAACTGTGCTTTGCTTCACAGTTTCAGGTGACTGCAGTCCATCACTAGGGAAGGTGTCACAGTGTTGCACAGCGGCTCCAAAAACACTGGTGACAGCCCACAGCAAAGGCTCTCTGTGAATAGAAAGAGCCTGGGCCAAGCGCAGCTTTCACAGACCTGCACCTAGGGGCCTATTCCCACCGTCTAGTCCACACCTCCCAATGCAACACAACCAACTGTGAGCAAAGACTCTAAACAAGAGTTTGTGTGGACACTTTAAATTCAAATATGACAAACACCCGTATCCCAAAGGACCAGTATTTTTTTCTACCTTGGAATCTGTATCAAACTATCATATTTTGTTTAATCTAAAACACAAATGTTCCTGATTAAATCCTCAAAAAAAATCCTTAGCACATTTCACCAAATATTTAATATCCCAAAGGTGAGCAAGGTCTATTAGCAATTTATTTCTGTAGAAATTCTTATAGCCAGTAGCCTTTAAGTTACCAGCCCACTTGGGCATGGCTTCATATTATATATGCCAATGTAAAGCATGTATCCAGGCTCTCTTCTGGTTGCAGGATTCGGTTGTTATTCCCTGTTCGAGCAGAGGACTGTAATCTGAGTCTACCCCTAAATAAATAACCCTCTATTATACTCAGTTCTGAGCTAGTGTGGGATTTCTTTTAAGCATCCGTGTTCATGGGTGCCCACGTGGATCTGGACTCCACACCTACCTGGTGGACTGGCTTAAAGGCCTAACCGGTCCACAGCCCAGAAAGTCTCCCACCCCTGCCCGCTTGGCTTGCTTTTGCCTAAGTGGTTTTTGTAAAACCCCCGCCACAGCAGAGCTAACTGCATGCAACAACTTGGAAATTTTCCAAGCTCACACACATCCCCTCTTCCACTGCCACATTCCCTGCCACATGGAGACTTGTGCAGCTTCCAGTTTGTGCTCCCTGCCCGTGAGTTCTGGGTTTCTTGTTTCATGTATGGAATTTATTTAACTGCTTTCAATTTGTTAAGCAAAGCATATTCCTCAGTATTTAACCAGTACCAAGGTGAAAAAACTAAAGCAGCTCACGATTGTTCCTGGCACCAGGTTGTGCCGTTAGTCACGATTCTGTAACCATGACATCTACTGGACAATAAAGAATATTACACTTAATTTATCAGACCTCATAGCAGGTAATTAATAAATCAATATATAATTGTAGACAACATTACCTTGGAAAGTTTTAGTAACATTTTTGTTAATACTATGGATTGTATTCTGCAAGGCTTATATGGCTATTGTGATACGTCCATTTGTTGGATATTGGGACTCAATTTTTTTCTTCATATTATATCCTTAAGAAAATGGTTTAATAACAGAGCCAAGAGTGAGGCACTTTTAGAAATGATACAGTCTTTACGGATTAATAATGAACAGCTAGCTGACAGGATTATACCATTGAAAATCAAAAGTTACCTGAAAAAATTAATACTATTGAAAAGAATAACATTAATTTGACAGACAAAATTGAATCCATGTCAAAGGGTATTGAGAAATTATCTGAAATAATTCATACTGTTGAATTTGACAATTGAAATTTGTTTAAAAGTTATGATAGGTGAACAGATAGAGTATCTTTCCAGGAAGGCAATCTGCATGCTATCCAAATAATGTCCAAGGATGAGACGTTATCTTTAAAGGAAAAACTTCAGACCTTGGAATCACATGTGCAGGATGAGGACCAGAGTCTGGGTACCTCAATGAAATCACTAGAGATATATCCAGGCCAGGAGATTCAGACTTTACAATAGACAGTATTAAAAAGATTTGAAATGACTGAGGAAATTATTGGAGCTGATGAGCAGGGAAAGCAGGTACAAGGATAGGAATCAAAATTGCCAGTAGCTGTCAGAGATGACTTAGCCAGGATTTTAGCTTCCTACCCCGTAATCTACTCTGACAAAGCATCAATTTCTAAAAGCTCAAAAGGATCCAAAGAAGGTAGATGGATACCTACAGGAATAAATGATCTAAAAGAAACTAAGCAAGCAGCAGTGACTTACAGCTTGCTTTCCACATGTGTTAGGGAGATGGTAAAGACATGGGCTTCTAGCATTAAAGCTACACCACATGACTGGCTTCAATTGGTTTCAGCAGTCCTGAATAATAGGCCTCAACTGATGTTTAGATGTTATTTCAGAGAAGAGGCTAAAATTTTAGAACAACAGGGAAAAGCAAAAGGGCTTGAGACTTCAAAAGATCAAATTCTTGGTGAGGGCACCTATACTGACCCCACAGGCTCAAGTTCTTTACAATGAACAAATCTTGTCCCTATGCCACAAAGCAGCCTTAAATGCTTGGGACAGAATTCAAGAACTAGGAAAATGATTTGAATTATATACCAGGGTTAAACAGGGGCAGAGAAAACCCTTTAGTGACTTTTGACAAAGTTTAACTAAGGCTGTATAGAAATAATAAACCCAGATGCTAGATGAGTACTTATTGAATCTATGGCTTTTGAAAATGCCAACTTAGAATGCAAAGAGATACTTTGCTACAATCTGGAATCCCTCTGCGTTCTCTATTACCAAAAGGATGGCCTCTTATAGTTATTGATTTAAAAGATTGTTTTTTCACTATACCTTTACAAGAAAAGGATAGAGAAAATTTTGCCTTCACACTGTAAAGAGAATTATCACTTGTAAGAACATGCCATCTGAGTGTAAGAATCTCTGAATACTAAATAAAATAATAATCATGACTCACTTAAAAATCAAAGCTGACTTTGGAGCTGGACACTGGTTTTACCCTTCTCTAAATTCAAGCATGTTGTTAAAATAAAAATTTGGAGTTTCTGTCTCATGTCAGGAGCCATGGTATAGGAAAGAAAGAAGAAAGAATTTAGAAAATATTTTACTTTTCTTCATCCCTATTTTTGTCTCTATCATACCTTTCATTAAATATATGTCTGTATAAATAATGTTTAAGTTTTCCACAATGAACAATGAATTTTCCTGCAGTAATTTTTGAAGTTTCCAGGAAGAAGATGGGGCACCACAACAACAACTCCACCTTGTGGTTATGACATCCTGATGTTGATAGTGCTATTATAAAACATGTTTTGGTACTAGATGCTCAAGATGGTCCCAACTTGGTTAGCTGAAATAGAGCACCTTTTTACAATGTTCTGGCCAGAACTCCAAAATTCTACCAAATGCTCAAAGACTATTTGAAATTATACCAGATAGTAATCTTGGAACTTAACCATCATTTTACTTTCACAGGATTCCATAGAAAGAACATCGCCCCATGAAGCTGGAAGTAATTTGAGAAGATGACATCCCCTTTCCCAACAATGTTTGTCTCTGAGTTTGGGACATTATTTAGGGATTGATTATAATTGGTATAGGGTTAGGGGTTTAGGGAAAAATTATATAAACTCAGGGATCTCTTTGAGAAAAGGGGGGGAGAAATTGGATAGGATAATAGATTAGTCTGAGCTTACTCACACTAATATTAATAGTGAACAATGGAGTGAATACTTCTGAGCTATTATTTACATTGGTATAGTTTTATACTTTCCTCACTTCCTCACCCAATGCTCTTCTCGAGTTTCCAAAACTTTCTGAGACAGAAGATTTTTAAATAAGCAGGACTTCCTCAGAGTTTCGTAAGCATCGTGACTCAGGCCGTGATAGGGTAAAAGGTTCCTCCATCTTGTCTTTGGCGCCATATTTGGCTTAAACTGAAACTACCTCCACCGTGAAAAATCCTCTCTACCCGATTCTGTTCTAGAAACTCGGGGAAATGCCCCAGCTAACTGCAAGTTTTGGCTTCTATTAAACTGTTTGCTTACTTTACTCCCCCAGCCAACTGCTAACAAGGACGTAGCTTTTCTGTGTTCTTTGCCTTTAAAAGCGCATCCGGGCCCCTCCGGGGAAAGCGCTTCTCTCCGGGCAGTCGCCAGCGGCCTAACAGAGACTCCCCATCCGGGGGTGCTCAGCGGTCCCTGGGTCCCTAAGCAGCAACACTGACAGAGCCCAAGAAAGGCGACAAGAAGCTGGAGAAGCGACAGTCGCCCTGGACTCCCGGAGCGGCTCTTCCGAGCCCCCGCCTATGACGTCGCCCTCCTCCAGTGACGCGAAAGCGGCCGCGTGACATAATCGGCACCGCGGCGCCTGCGCGTCAGGGAAGGGGGCGCGGCCTAGAGGGGAGGGGAGGAGCTAGATGGGGGCAAGAGGCGGGGAAGGGGCGGGGCTAGAAGGAAGAGTGTCGAATGTACGTCAAGAGATCGGAAAAAAGTGGGTGGGGCGAGGGCGGACCTAGCTGGGGTACCTCGCAGCTTCACTTCCTGTTTGCCGGTATTTCTGCTTCCGGGCCAAGGGTGTCCGTCGCGTCCGGCTCCTCTCCCTGGCTGCTCGCGGTGCTCTCGGTGACAGCGCCACCTGACTCAGCCCGGGACGGCTTCTTTCTGCCCACCGGCGGGAGCCTGGACGCCGAGGCGCCCCTCATCGTTCGGCTCAGCCCAGGGTCCCGGGGTCCCGCCTGCTGAGAGCGCCCGCGGGCCCGGCGAGGCTGCGGTGTGCGAGCCTCCGGCGCCCCAGGCGAAGCGCGGGGACTGGCAGCCCTCAGGCGCCCCGGAATCGCCCGCTCCCGTCCCGGCTCGGATGGGCCCTCGCACTCGATAAATGTGGCTGCTGAGGCGGCGCTGGCGGTGGCCGGACCTGCTGCTGCTCGGCTCCGAGTTCCCCCTCGCCGCGGCGCTTTGCTGCCCCCCGGGGCTGCCGCCGCCAGCTCCTTTTCCCCTGGGCCTGGCCTTGCAGCGTGGCGACGATGGACAAGATCCTGGAGGGCCTGGTGAGTTCCTCGCATCCTCTGCCCCTCAAGCGGATGATTGTGCGGAAGGTGGTGGAGTCCGCGGAGCACGGGCTCGACGGGGCGCAGTGCGAGGCCATGTTTGACCTGACGACCCGTCTCATCCTGGAGGGCCCGGACCCTTTCCAGCGACAAGTGGGCCACCAGGTGCTGGAGGCCTACGCGCGGTACCACCGGCCGGAGTTCGAGTCCTTCTTCAACAAGACCTTCGTGCTGGGCCTCCTTCAGCAGGGCTACCACTCACTGGACAGGAAGGACGTAGCCATCCTGGACTACATTCACAACGGCCTGAAGCTGATCATGAGCTGCCCGTCGGTGCTGGACCTCTTCAGCCTGCTGCAGGTGGAGGTGCTGCGCCTGGTCTGTGAGAGGCCGGAGCCGCAGCTCTGTGCCCGCCTCAGCGACCTTCTGACGGATTTCGTGCAGTGCGTCCCCAAAGGGAAGCTGGCCATTACCTTCTGTCAACAGCTGGTTCGAACGATAGGGCACTTCCAGTGTGTGTCCACCCAGGAGAAGGAGCTGCGGGAGTATGTCTCCCAGGTAACAAAAGTGAGTAACTTACTCCAAAATATCTGGAAGGCCGAGCCCTCCACGCTGCTACCTTCTCTGCAAGAAGTTTTTGCAAGCATCTCTTCCACAGGTAAGGGTCATTATTGCAGGAAAATATGCCTTGGAGATTCGACCCGTGTCTCAAATGAACCTCACTTTCTGCCCGGAAACATTCTCTTTTGGGGGACTAGCGGGTCGGCAAGCATACCTTCTTATTTGTGGAAATCCTCCAGGAAGAGGCATTCTTGATGGCGAGCAAATCCATACTCCTTATCCAAAACGTTATTCCACTCCACTGCCTTGTTCAGAATCGTACGCTGTAGCCGAAAGGTTGAGGAGCCTAAGTCCGAAGACCTTTGTCACTGAGCAAGTCACTTAATTACGCAGCCTCTGCTCCAGTTTCGGAATGCTTCCAGGCTGACAGCCATTGTGGAAAGCGTCTAGTCATTACTGACTAATGGTCTCGTATGATGCTCACCACATTGTTATTACTGTATGTAACTATTACCTTACTGGAGTTGTTTTTCAGTTTTTCAGTGTTCTCATTTTTTTAAAAACTCATGGGTCGTGCACAGTCCATTATAGGATTGTCCCGGCTTACTGTGTAGTGTTTCTAAAGTGTTGTCATTTTCACTCCATAACATGTATGTAACAGGAGGTGCAGGTGGCATAGAAATAGGTGTGAAGTATGACGTGGGCCGTTTGGCAGCCTAGGTGGATGCTTGTCTTGTCTTTATCACCAGCTGCATCCTCAGAAACTGGAATGTTCAAAGGATCGTGCTTAACCTAAGAATTCTACGTGTCTGTCCTTGGAGGGGCTTTAAAATCTGTCAGTCAAACTGAACTTGTAAAGCTGCCCTCTTTATCTTTTTTTTTTTTTTTTTTTTTTTGTTTTTCGAGACAGGGTTTCTCTGTAACTTTGGAGCCTGTCCTGGCACTAGCTCTGTAGGCCAGGCTGGCTTCAAACTCACAGAGATCCGCCTGCCTCTGCCTCCCGAGTGCTGGGATTAAAGGTGTGTGACACCACCACCCGGCTTGCCCTCTTTATCTTAACCAGAAATGAGGGTCGAGTTTTAAAAGCTCATACAATGTAATACATTTATTATATACCAGGTCCATTAGCTTCCCCTCCCTGTAATTTTACTGGTAGTTTGTCATAGTTGTTAGATTTCTGTTTCACGTCTTTAAGCTGTAGTAGTGAAGCTGATCATCGTAATCCTGACATTTTAATGTAAGGAAAGTAAGCCCCTTCCCTTTAATTTCTACTCAAGATTTGTAAGACTCCCTTAGAGTAGTATAGTAACTACTATAATATTTCTTAATTATTTCAGAACCTCTGACCTAGATATTAGAATGATATATGACTGGTTGTATTATTTTTTCTAATTGCTACATGTCAAAACAGTATCTAAACCAAAAAAGTACCATTAACAATGGTTATTGACTAACGTTAGCAGTAGTTTTTGTAATTCATTGTTGTCTCTCGAATGAGTGATTATTGCTGTGCACTGCTAAATCTTTTCTGTGATTAACTTTCAATTCAGAGTTATAACAACTTCTTAGAGCGCCTTCGCTACAAGTGTGCGTGTAGTAGTTCCCTTGAACTAGTTCACGTTGAGCCTCTTTGCCATATTTACCTGTCTTTCTAACTAAAACTAGATGCATCCTTTGAGCCCTCGGTCGCCTTGGCCAGCCTTGTGCAGCATATTCCTCTGCAGATGATCACGGTCCTCATCCGGAGCCTGACCGCCGACCCGAATGTAAAAGACGCCAGTATGACCCAGGCTCTCTGCAGGTACTTTGTGTGTGTGCCAGATGTTAGCACCCCAGAGGAGACAGTATTCTGCCTTTTTGTAGGAATAGTGGAAAACTTGGGGAAATTTCTAAAACTGAAATCATGAAATATATTAGTAGTTTCTCCAAATTAACTAATGACTTATCTTTTTATAGCTCATCTGAAATTGTTTGGTTGGGTTTTTCTGGAATCTTTATTCCTTATCATTTCCTGTAGACTTTTGTAGGGTTCACAACCATGTAGGGTGGTGGTTGTTACTGTTATTTGGTTCTGGGTTTGTTCCTTTTAACTAGGTAGGGATTTTATTTTCTCTTTCAACGCCCTTGCCTCTTTGGATTTATTTTATTTTATGCGTGTGTTCTACCTTCATGTATGTATGTGTACCATATGCTTGTTGTCCGAGGAGGTAGCTCCTGCAACTTTGGTTATGGATGGTTGTGAACCCCCAGTAGGTGTGTGCTAGGAATTGAACCTAGATCCTCTGCGAGAGCAACAAGTGTTCTTAACCATTGAACCATCTCTCCAGCCTCTCTACCTTTGCTTCTTTGGAATTTGTTTTCTCTCCTTTATTCATAATTAGATGAACTTGGCCAGATCCAGAATTCTGGTTTGATAGCTGTTTTCTTTTAACATTTTTAAAGTAATAGCACATTGCTGTTGGGCATCTGCTGTTTGCTCGTGGGAGCTGTTGCCAGTCTGATTGTCGTGTGTTTCCAATAACACATTTTTCTTCTTATCCTAAATAATGTGCAGTCTCATCTCCCATGTCTCGATATAAACTGATTTGCCCTTTGCAGCACTTTACGCTTGTATGCAAGCATTCATTTAAAGTGACTTACCTTAGCAGGTGTCAGACAGTGCCCAAAATACCCTGAGCAAATTGGTCAATATAAATACTTTGATGAGCTTTCTTTATAGTCAGACAGACCAACAGTAATGTAGTAATACTTCATGATTCCAGCATGCATCCTGATTTTAAAAATGTAAAAACATGTAGTAATGGGTGCCCAAGTTAGACAGGCCTGGCTTTTTTGCCCTACTGCTAAATAATTAAGTTGATTTTGTTTGGGGTTTAAATTTTATCTTTGGACATTTAGTAAATAATTTAGTATGTTAAATGATAATAAGTATTTATCGGGAAAGGTAGACAATAAGAGGTAGGCTGTAAGTAAGTGCTTTGCAGTTTTCAGTACGATGGCTAAGGAAGGGTTCATTGAGGTGACTGTGTACTAAAGTAAAAAAGGAAGCAAGGCCTTGGGTATTAGAGGGACATACCAGCACAGACAGTATCTGACTTAGGTTGGCTCAGTTTATGATTTCTCAACTTTCTGATGGTACCAAAACAAGCATTCAGTAGAAGCCATGCTTTGAATTTTGAATTCCTCTTTCCTGGGCTAGAGTATAAAGTATGATACTTTTTTGAAATGCAAATAGACAAAGCGAGCCACAGCTCCGAGTCAGCCACTCAAGCAGGGTAAGCACCCAGTACACTACATTGGGCTGTGTTGCTAAGTCAGGATGTTTGGTATGTTGTTTTTAAGGCTTTACTCCTTACAGTATTTCCCATTTGCAAAAGTCTCCAGAACCTGTCATAAGTCAGGAAGTCCCTGCCTTGTCCTCAGACCTGCTCATTCTTCTCTGTGAAGTACTACCCATCTGTAGAGCTTGTTCCAGCTCTTGTGTGCCTGTGTCAGGGACAGTGTTGTTCTCTAATTGAGCTTTAGCCTTCTGTTTCTTAGCTGCTTAGTTTTGTTTCTTGAGTTTTCCTGTCTTAGCCTGTTCAGACAGGAGGTGAGGATTACAGTGGCTTCTGTCTCTGTTGTCACAGTTACATGAACTGAGGTCTTTATGTTGAGCACAGAGAAAGTGCCGTGCTCTCTACAACACAGACTCTAGCTTCTTCTTTCTTGTGCTGTTTAACTTGTGGAACCAATTAACCTGTAACTTGTGCTTCTAATGTCTCAGATCACAAATCTAGAAGCAAGTGTAACTCCGTTCTTTTCTTATTCTCTTTGATTAATATCACTAAGTCCTTTGGCCTCTCGCTCTACCATCTGTGGAAATCAAACCCGTTTTGTTACCGTAGTCTTAGTCTTCTAGTTGGGTGGAGATGATTATAAGATGAGAAACTAGAAGAGGACTCCAGGAAAAGGCCAATTAAATAAGTGATTAGCAATAATACAGAGCTACTATCAAGTGGATATTACTCCTTCTCCTTCCAGTCAATCCTCTCCTTAGACTGAGATGAGGGTTCTGGTCTCCTGGGCACATGTTCTGCACTGACAGTGCCGCCATCCACAGAGCCAAAGACAGGTGCGCACCCTACCTTATTTTCATGTGCATATTTCCACTTACACAAAAATGACTCGTCGTTTTTAACTTACTGGCATTATTTAACAATATCTCAGATATTTTATTTGAGGTGAGGTGAGGGGAACAGGTTGAGACCCTGGTCTAGCCCAAGCTTGCTCACTGTATGGTCCAGGCTGTCCTCAAACTTAGCAGTCTTTCTGCCTTAGGCTCTTAAGTGCTGAGATTACAGATGAGCCACCATGCCCTGCTCATAGCTTTCCATTTTAGATTGCTGTGGATAGCTTTGTGCAGAACTTCCTCAGTACTAAAATTCTTCCACAGTATTCTACATTGTCAGTACTACAATGTATTTATATGTATTATTTATTGTATTTATATTGATTTTATTTTTTACCTTGTGGGTGGCCATTTATGGCTTTTGCAATTTTGCCATGTCATAAACAATGCTGGAGATATGTTATTATACATTTGGGAGTTAAGGTTGCAATACTGTAGATAAAGCCCAAGGTCTTTCACATACTAGGCAAGTGCTCGACCACTATGACTTGTTCCCAGCAAGAGTAGACTCCTTAAGTCTTACTTTTTATTTTGCTTTTTTTTTTAAAAGATGAGTCTTGTTATGTATTGTTTTCTGATCTCTAACTTACAGAGCTCTGCTTGCCTCTATCTCCCAAGTGCTAGAATTAAAGGTGTGCGCCACCTCACCCAACTTGGTTTTACTTTTTCTGCACCCATCCCTCCGTGAATTGATAGTCATGACTAAAGATCAGCTTGAGTTTCTGATCCTCCTCAAGTGCTGGGATTTATAGACATGTGCCACTATGAAGTGCTGATGATCAAACCCGAGGCTTTGTGCATAGTCAACCAACAAGCACACTACCAGCCCAACCGTGTACTCTCGCCGAGCCTGTACATACTCAAAAGAAGTGCACATATGCCTCTTTCTTATTCTTTGTATAATGACTACAGATTTTTGTAAAAAGCAACCCTGCAATAGGTAGATGATAGAGTAGCTGTTAGCAACTACAATGACTTGTGGCAGTTATTGTTGTGAGAAGCCAGAAAAAGAAGAAAAGAAAGAAAATGTATGTAACGAATGGAGGGCTCCCATGTAACAGGAAGTTAGTATGCCTTGTATTTGGGACCCACACGTCATACATTTTAGAACATTTACAACTGAAAAACAAAACAATATTGTTGTGCGCTACTATAAACCCTTCACTTGGGAGCCTGAGACAAGAGAATTTCCACAAGTTTAAGACCAGCCAGGGCAACAGTGTGAGACCCTGTCTTGAAAGCCAAAAGAGAAAGACTGATGATGATATTCCAGTCTTAAGATAGTTATATAATGCCCGTGTCAGTGCTTTTAACATGGTAGTGTTCTTTTGATCACAGCCTATATCCTCAGTATTTGTGTCTGCCATTTTGTACAATCAAGGTGTTTATTGCTGGACAAACAGGATGACTCAGTGGAATAAACGTACTTGCTACACAAGTCTGACAACCCCAGTTCATTCTTCAGAACCCATGCTCTGGCCTCCTGTGTCTGTCACGGCATGCATAGACACACATGATACCACACTCACCAGCAATAATAAATGAACTTTTTAAAAAGATGCTAATTGCTCCCTGGGTTAATATTTGGTGGAGGGTTACATTCATGATGAGTGTTTCCAGTGTTATTCATTCATTTAGTCTTCAGAACAGCCCTGTAAATAAGCATATTTATAACCTAGAGATAAGAAACTAAGGAAGAGAAAATAAGGTATTTAGATTCTGCCAACTAATAAATTGTGAATTGAGATTTTTAAACCAATTATTCTGACTCTAGAAACCTGTAAAGTTTTTTTTACTCTTTATCAGTATCTAATCCATCTAAATAGATTACTTCATCAATTATATCAGTTACATAGCCTGGCTGCTTTCCAAAGAGTTGAACTAGTCTTTAGTGTGCTGTATATCCAGCTTTAGAAAAAAAAGCCGTATTACTTCATCTTTTTCCTGTTGAACTGACTTGATATAAGGAAATACGCAGTAATAGAAAATCAGGTCATTAGAATATTTACACAGTGTTTTTTATGATTGGTGGTTCTCCTTGTTGTCATTGTGTGTAGAATTTTGAAAGAGGTAGAGACACTTGCACCAGGATTCAGAATGTAGGCGCTTTAATGGTATGTTTCACATTACACTACTTAGCAAGAAGCAAAATCTTAGTTGATATTCATGCATCTTAGTTCAGATGTCTGATTTTAAACCCCTTATAACAGTTACTATTGAACGAGTGATATATATATATATCATATATATATAGGAATATATATAGGAATATATGATATATATATTCCTATATAGTGTCCATTTGAAACTTGACAGTTATGAGAAATGGCCATTATAATAAAGTCTTTCATGGGAATACATTGAATAAAGAAACTGTCAGCTTACAAGACTGGAAACTGTTTGAAGACAGGCCACAGTTTGACTTACAAAGTGAATGGGTATCTGTTGTAATTCTTGCTATTTCTGAATGATGTTGAAAATATTTGAAATACTGATAATTATGTCTTCCTTCACTTTTTAGAATGATTGACTGGCTATCTTGGCCATTGGCTCAGCATGTGGATACGTGGGTAATTGCTCTCCTGAAAGGACTGGCAGCTGTTCAGAAGTTTACTATTTTAATAGACGTTACTTTGCTGAAAATAGAACTGGTAAGTCGAAGTGGATCAGCCCATCGGAATGCATAGACTTCCGAGCGTGTTCCTAGTTTGGGTTTGTTTTAAATAGGTTTTAGGGGACAAAAGCCATTGCCATGTAGGGAATAGTCAGCTGAAATTAGTTTGCTCTGTTCAAACTTTTAATGTGAAAACAATCCACCTACTAGCCCTTTTTTGTTTGCTTTTCCGGGTTGTTCTTTGTTGTTGTTTATGTTAATGATGGTGTTTTTATCTTCTGCTTCTCTGAGACTGCCTCACTACAGAGGTCAGACTGACATCCAGCTCACAATCCTCCTGCCATAGCCACACACATGGAAGGGTTATAGGAATTTAGCACCATGCTTGGCTCCCATGAACTCTTAAATCCAAATCATCAGACTTCTAGCACTGTGCTCTACCTAACTGCCTTCTAAGATTCTACGTCATATTTTGCTAAACCCAAGACACAATTGATCACCACATTTTTTTGTTTGGGGTTTTGGTTTTTCCACGGTGCTGGGGATCAAAATTAGACAACTTCCATCTGATCCACATCCTGAGCCAAATCAGTCCCTCATTAAAACACTTTCTTTACTTAATTCCCAGGACACTGTGCTCTCTTGTCTCTTGTCTTTTGCTGGGGTATCAGTCTCCTAACTTTCTTTGGCCCACTTTCTCTCTTAATTTATTCTTAAGTGTTCTGCACCATGCAGTAATCATGGGTGCTCTATGGCTTTAAATAAAGTGTCCAACTTTATGACTGACAGATTTATATTTCATTTCATTGTTTGCCCTTGAATTCCATATCCATTTTGTCTTAGCTACTGTTCTGTTGCTATGAAGAGATACCGTGACAAAGAAAAACTCGTTTAAATGAAAGCACTTAAGTGAGGCTTGCTTATAGTTTCAGAGGGTTAGTTCATGGTCATTGTGGTGGGAAGCAAACAAGCATGGCTCTGGAGCAGTAGCTGAGAGCTTAATATCCTGATCTGCAGGCAGAGAGAGAGAAGGAGAAAGGGAAAAACACTGGGCCTGGCATGGGCTTTGAAACCTCAGAGCCCACTCCCAGTAACATTCTTCCCCCCAGCAAGGCCACACTTCTTAATCCTTCTAATCCTTCTCAAGCAGTTTCACTCCCTGGTGACTAAGCCTTTGGGGCCATTCTCATTCAAACCACCACACATTTATTCGGTTATCTATACTCAGATCTCTCTTTATTTTCTTCTTTTCTCTTTTTGGGGGGAGGGGTATTATTCTTTTAAAAACGGCGGGTGGGGTGTATAGACGAACACAGGATAGACAAGACGCGCAAAAGGAGGAGACAAGACACGTAGCTCCCACGTGGGTGCACTTTAATGGGGGGAGGGGGACACGATAAGGGATGGGTGTGTGAGACACACAAGGGTAAAGGGCCAGAGAGAGCGAGACCTCGTGGAAGCTCGCTTTTTAACGGGAAGCGCAAGGTTATCTGGGAGAAATGACCTGCACCTGAGCACACCCGCGTGCGCAGGTATTCGTAATCCAGGAGGAATCTGGGAGCTGTAGTTTCCAAAGGAACAACAAGGGGGTGTTTTGAAGTTAGGTTGTTTTTTTTCCCCCCCATAAAGGTTTTTATTGCAGCAAGAGAAAGCTAAACTATATTCCAAAGACATGGGTGTTAACTAACTCAAGAAGTGAGTAGCCTATCTATCTATACTCAGAAATATTAAACTCACCTTATCCACAGTCTTCTGATTTATTTCCTCCCAAACCGGTCCTCTGCCTCTTCATAGATAACTATCTCAAATAGCTTCCCCTCCCTTAGGCCCTAGTCTTTGATGCAACCCTTATCTCTCTTTATTGACTCAACCACTGTCCGACAAATTCTAACTGCCTTTAAATAATAACCCAGAATCCTACTACCAATTTTAGCCAATTACATCACTATTATACCTTGGTCCAAAGTTGCCATCATCTCTTGTAGCACTGATTTCAGTAACTTCCTTGCTCCTGCTTTTGGTTCCTTATAAATGTTGCACAAGAGCTCCATTTGCTGTCCTTTCTTATCCCATTTCTGACTTCCAGTGACATTGTTCTCTGTGGTCTGACACACCAGTCTGGAGAACCTAGAGCCTTTGCAGTACTGTCTGCCCTGTTTATAAATGTTCTTGTCCTAAGTGTCTGTGAAGCTGATGTCCCTTCAGATTCCACTCAGATGTTGCCTTTTTCCTAGGGCATTTTTAACCTCTATAAAATGACAAGCTCCTTTGCTACCCAATGTTTCCTGGTCACTGTGTTCTACTTCGTATTTTTAGCATGTATCTATGCTTATTACTTTTTGTTATCTAGTAAATGTCCTGTAACTATAAGTCATATATGACCTACAGTACCTGGATCAGTGCCAAACAATCATAGCTATTCAGTAACTATTGATGGAGTAAGCTGAATGAATAGTGACTCCATAGTAAATATGCTTATTTAGGTATCTGGACATATTTTCACTTAATGGGGGAGTTTTGAGAATTGTTTAGATCGTTACATTCTCTTTGACTTCAGTCCTACTATACTTCCTTTCTCTCCCGCAATGTCTAATAATATGTTAGGATAGGGCTTTAAAGGAAGAGGGAGACTCACATACATGACTGTCAGCTAGGGAAGGCTAATGCTTTTCCTGTGAACTCTGAGAATACTCTCTCATTCTGCAGGTTTTTAATCGACTTTGGTTTCCTCTTGTGAGACCTGGTGCTCTTGCGGTTCTCTCTCATATGCTGCTTAGTTTTCAGCATTCTCCAGAGGCATTCCATTTGGTAAGTATGATACAAGCTCTCTAAATACTTGTCAAAGTAGAACTCACATTATAATGGAAAGACTGTAGGTTAGCTTTATAGTATTTCATGTAACTATAAATTCTTTAAAAATTGAGTTTGTAGAATATTCTGGCAAATAGTATATTTTCACAAAGTTTTGTGCTTCACCAAAACTGCCCCACTCAGAGCCATCACCCGCAACTGGAAGTTGCTGCTGCACAGGGAGCTATCGATGCAGGGGCCTTTACACATCAACAGTGCAGGATCAGTGTGGCATCAGTGTTGGCGGTGGCACTGGAAAGCACGAAAAGAGTTGAGTCCTTCTTTCACTAACGCCATCTTTAACAGTAGTCACGGTTGTGCCTGCACCCGAAAGCAGCTGCTTGCTGGCTTTGATCTGATTGCAGCTGTCAGTTACTGCAGATGAGGAGTGACAACGTGTTTCAGGGATCTCTCTGCTTCAGGAGACTTTCACGTGGTTATCTGCATTCTCCAAGGTCTGCTCATGTTTTACAAGAGTAGAAACTCAGCGGCAGCATGCGCCACCTTAGGGACCCTAATGCACCCTGACAAGTCAGAGAAGTCATGCAGAAATGCAGACTTATTCCTCCTGGCTGTGCTCACACAGGCTACCCAGGGCCTCTTCCTTTGGGGGAAACCCACAAGCTTTGTTTAAGGAAACTGTGGCAATAAGTCATTTCATTTGAGATTCTGAATGAGTGCTTTCTGTAGTCTCTATTCTCGTTGTGGTGAAACCATGAGATTCTTTGCTTATCAGATGAATCTCATTTTTGAGCTAATTTAGCAGGCATATAAACAAAATGCTTCAGCAGAGAAAACATCTGTCACTGTCTTCATGTGCAGGCCCTCTGATAAAAGGGTTCTTTTCGAAGTTCTGCACTTTTCGAACTATTGCACATTGCCTTCTACATTGACGCCATTCCTTTATCTCTAGGTAATCACTTACACCCTGCTATAAACCTATTTTTTTTTATTGTTGTTGTTGTTTTGAGACACAGTTTCTGTTTCTCAACCCTGGCTGTCCTAGTTCAAACTCGCAGAGATCCACCTGCCTCTGCCTCTGCCTCCCTAGTGCTAGGGAGGTTATATGCCACCACCACTTGGCCCTGTTCTTTTCCTTGCAATTTGCTTAAAAAAAAAAAAAAAAAAAAGTACTTCCTTACCTTTTGTATTTTTTTCTCTCCCATTTCTGAAAAAAAGTGAGTTAAAATAACAAATTTTTGACTTTGAAATTTTATTTTTTGAATTAAAGTAATTTTAAATCATCCTATTTAAGATTACGCCTTTAATCCCAGCACTTGGGAGGCAGAGTCAGGTGGATCTCTGTGAGTTCGAGACCAGCCTGGTCTACAAGAGCTAGTTCCAGAACAGGCTCCAAAGCCACAGAGAAACCCTGTCTCGAAAAAACAAAAAAAAAAAAAAAAAAAAAAAAAAAAAAAAAAAAAAAAAAAAAAAAAAAAAAAAAAAAAAAGAAAAAGAAAAAGAAAGAAAAAGAAAAAAGAAATATCTAGATTTGAAATTGAAAATTTTTGATCTGACTTAGTAAAGCCTGAAAATCAAAACTTAATACTGTGTAAGTACTCTACAAAGTTCAACTACAAACATCTTGGCGATCTAGTAGTGAAGTGTGTGGTAGTTAAATTATCAGTGACTCCACATGATTCAGTGAAGGATTGTGCATGGGTGAGTGTGAGCGGTAGCCTGGGATGAGCATCATCAGTCATGCATTAGATTTTGTGTTAGAAATCCAAGCATAAACCAAGAAGTTCTGATGTGTATTGTTAGAGGCTAAGCTACTTTCCATATACTTTCTATAAAAAGAAAAATTCATTTTAAACTGATCTGTGATGCATAGTTAAAATGGAGAAACAAAAAATGTAGTTAGTAATTAAACATGTCATATGTATTCCTCAAGTAGCAATTATGTTTAATGAGTCTTACAGTAATTTTTAAAGGCATTTAAATTGACATGTTCAAAAAAAATCTAACTTTAGGGGGCTAGAGAGATGGCTAAGTGGTTAAGAACACTTGTTGAACAACTCAGGTTTAGTTCCCAGCACCCACATAATGACTCACAAACACCTAGAACTCCTATTCCAGGGAATCTGACCTCCAGGGTATGTACACATATGTACATACATGCAGGCAAAAAATTCATCTGCATAAAATGAAAGAGAAGGCAGCAGCCTGCTTGTGTGGCAGTCTGTGTTGGTGTGAAGGACTGTCTTATTTCCACGCAGGTGACGAGTGACCATTTAGGAGGTCATAGGACACAAAACTGTAACCTGGTTTTAAAGACCAAATCTGCACTAGAAGAGCTTTGAAAGAATTGAAACTATGAAATTCATTTTTTTTTTATTCTTAGCTTTCATCTTTCTCTCTTTACCTGTCAAGAAATACTTTAAAGTAATTTTGGATTTTAGACTAATCTAGCAAGAAAGTAACAGATTTTTACAGACTTATCACTGAGTTGTGTTTAGAAATGCAGAGATGAGGGCTAGGGATATTCTCAGTGATAGAGCACTCCTTTAAGATGCAGGAGTCCCTAGGAAATGTTCAGCATCCTTAGTCATCAGAGAAATGCAAATCGAAACAACTTTGAGATTCCATCTTACACCTATAAGAATGGCCAAGATCAAAAACACTGATGACAACTTATGCTGGAGAGGCTGTGGGGGAAAGGGAACACTTCTGCAGTGCTGCTGGGAATGCAAGCTGGTACAACCCCTTTGGATGTCAGTGTGGCGATTTCTCATAAAATTAGGAAACAATCTTCCTCAAGACCCAGTAATACCACTTTTGGGTATATATCCAAAAGATGCTCAATCGTACCATAAGGACATGTGCTCAACTATGTATATAGCAGCTTTGTTTGTCATAGCCAGAACCTGCAAACAACCTAAATGCCCCTTGATCGAAGAATGGATAAGGAAAATGTGGTACATTTACACAGTGGAGTACTATACAGCAGAAAAAATAATGACAGCTTGAATTTTGCAGGAACATGGATGGAGCTAGAAAACACTATTTTGAGTGAGGTAATCCAGACACAGAAAGACAATTATCACATGTACTCACTCATATGTGGTTTTTAAACATAAAGCAAAGAAAGCCAGCCTACAAACCACAATTCCAGAGAACTTAGACAACAATGAGGACACTAAGAGAGACTTACAAAGATTTAATCTACATGGGAAATAGAAAAAGACAAGATCTCCTGAATAAATTGGGAGCATAGGGACCTTGGGGGAGGATTGAAGGGGGTAAGAGAGAGGCAGGGAGGGGAGCAGAGAAAAATGTAGAGCTCAATAAATATCAATAAAAAACAAACAAACAAAAAGATGCAGGAGTCCCTAGGTTATATCCTGGGGGTGTGGGGAAGGAAGGAGGCAGGAGATGTAAACATGATAGAAAAAGAACAAACTCATTAGAAGCTGGTAGCAGGCATGTTCAAGCTGTATGCAGCCACATGTACCCAAGGAAAGTTGTAATCAGAGCTCAGCACAAAATCATAAGCCTCAGGTGTGGAAGGGCTAGAAAGATGGCTCAGCAGTTAAGAACTTGGTTATTCTTCCAGTGGACCTAGGTTTAATTCCCAGCACCCACATAGGACTTAAAACTATAACTCCAGTTCCAGGGCATCTGACACCCTCTGGGCACAAGGCCAGGGATGCATGTGGTACATGAGCATACATGCAGGGAAAACACCCAAATACATAAAATAAAACTTTTTTAGGAAGAGAGAGGGTGTGGAATGAGAATAATTAGAATGTTTATATATGTTTGAATTGTCTTAAGAACAATTTCAGTTAATAAAAAAGTTAATTTTAAAATCATAAATTTAAAGCTAGTTTGACCTTATCAGTAACTGTAATAAAATTGAGTTTAAAGAAGGTGGCATAAAAGCTCTACCCTATGATTTAATGCGTTTAACAGAATAAATCCAGACAGTGCAGGGCAGATATTACTGTTGACTGAAGAATCTGACTGCTGACTGGGCCAGTACCAGCGGTTCTTAGTACTGTTTGATGAGACAGCCCTGATAGAACGCGGACTGCAGTTTATCAGGAGTTGGGGGCTGCAGAGATGTTCTGCATACGGAACCTGAGACACTAAGGTTTCAGAAGTTATACATATGTAATATCAGATTGTGATTAATAATTAGTTTAATAATTATACTTAGTAATTATTAATAATTAAAAATTGAAAAGCATTCTATCATAATAATAGTCATTTCTATAAAATAAAATGTTTCTTTTTTATTATAATGTCTTAAATCTTTGTATGAGTTGGCTTTTAGACTGATTTTAAATGAAAGATCATTATTGTACTGGTTATCAATATTGAATATTTTCAAGATTTTTATCAATAATGAGCATTTAAATTTTTCCAATTTTTATTTCCAGTTTCTTAAAAATAGATGTTTTTGATTGGCTTTATTTTTGGAGCAGCTGTTTGTAAATAAGGATTCTGTTTAATCTAAGGTATCATTCATGTGCTTATCAAACAATATAATCCTGATATCTGATCACAATTTTAGTTACATATGTAAGTTATTTCAGAGACTTTCTTGGAGTTCACATTGCTATGCAAAATATATAATTTTTTCAACTGAAAATTTTAAACTCAAACTTACACTAGATGGAGCTCTTTCACTGATTCCAGATTGGGATTTTTAATGTTCTGTTAAATAATCTGGTTGGGTTGTGGTTGTTACTCGGATAGTAGAGCACTTGCCTGGCACACAAAGGTGAGGCTTGAGCCTTAGTACCCCAGAACAGTTTTTAAAAAAATTATCTAGTCAATAGAATAACCATAACATTTTTCAACTAATGGCATTTTTTAAATGCAACAATGACTGAAGCTTCTATATTACACCTAGTTGGTATTTTAGGTGGATTGTATACATACCATGACACACGTTACAGAGGTCAAAAGACAATTTATGGAGGTTGGTTCTCTTTTTCTACCATATGGGTTCTGGGGACTGAACTCTGGTCCTCAGGCTTGTTAGTAAACACCTTAACCTACAAAGGCAACTCACAGGCCTTTTATTATTATTATTTTATTTATGATTGTGTATGTTTGTGTCTGTATGTCTGTGTTATAATGTATGTGTGGAAGTCAGGACAATTTGACAGTGAGTTCCACCGTGGAGGTTCCATAGGTTGTTGGGCTTGGTGACATACACTTTATGCTGAGCAAAGGGAGAAGAGTATTAAATGAGATCACAGGAGCTGGAAAATGGTTCAGCAGTTAACAGTGCTCGCCAAGGAGCCGAGTAGCTGACAGCCACCTGTAACTCCAGCTGCAGGAGAATTCTACCCATCCTCTGTTCTCTATAGGCACCTATACACATGTGGGAGACAGTGATTCCAGGCACATATACATATAAATAATACATTTTTAACATGATTACAGTCATGTGACTTCATTAAGAAAAACATGACTAAACATACAGAAGAGTATATGCTAATCATATAACCATTGCGTTCTGTCTGTATGCTGGGATGTGCTGTCACCTGTGTGAACAGAAGGGTTCTCTTTTCTCTTCAGATTGTTCCTCATGTGGTGAACTTGGTTCACTCCTTCAGAAGTGATGGCCTGCCTTCTAGCACAGCCTTCTTAGTGCAGGTAACGGAGTTGGTGCACTGTATGATGTATCACTACTCCGGATTTCCAGATCTCTACGAACCTATCCTGGAGGCAGTAAAGGTATGATGGCTGTGTACCAGTCCTGTGAGCCGCACACACTGACGGACCAGTCTGGCAATGTATTATTTTATATAGTGAGCTGCTTTTAAGGTGGTGATTTCACTTGCTCAGCCTTGATAACTTGGTATACCAGACATGGTTGACTCACCAAGGGCGTGGATGGGGTGGGATGGGGAAAGGTGGAGGGTGGGAGGGGAGGAAGGAATGGAAACTAGGAACTAGAGCTAGTACGTAAAATGAAAAAAAAAATGAAGTAGAAAAAAAAGATGATTTCATTCTCTGTTCTTTTTTGACACCACCATTCTAAATCAGTAGGCACATTTCTTAGTTCTGTGGTGCCATCAAGTAAAATATGTTCCTTTAAATTTATAAAGCTGTTAAAGGAATTGGCTAGTGACAGTATGTTACATTGAATGTGTACAGACATCAGTTTTGCATCTCAGTAGCAGAAATGTTGAACAGTTAAATCGATCTTGGAATCGAGGAAATACTTGACTGGCTCCCTCTGTATTTTGGTTTTCTTTTGTGTTGTGGACTTTGTGAATGTCTATATTTGTTTACCTTGTTTTTCAAATTCAATAAATGGCAGGTTCAAGAAAGTGTTGCTTCTGTCTGTATTGCAAAATGGTTGACTAGAAAATCAGAGTATCGTCAAAGAATTGAAAAACTTAATTCAGTCAGGCTTAATCAGAAGTTACTAAATACCAATTCTAATCGTGATATTAATGTTGGAAATACAATATACAGACCACATTGCCTTACTACCCATATGTGTAAGGGAAATTAAGAATGTTTTTATATCCAGCTAATTCAGACTAAGGACTGAGTCTAAAACAAAATGCTATTAGGCCTCTGTGGTGCTGGTATGACCCTGCCCTCTCAGAAGTAGATTACATATGGAATCTACTTGCCACGGACGTGATAGGTCATTACTGTCTGCCCTCATTGCTGCCATTTTATTGACTGACACTCTTCAGTTTTTCAGTGCATCTCCAAAGGAGCTCTCAGGCTAAGGAAAGTATTTCTACCAGCTGCCAACAGACAAAAGAAAGGGGTGGGGAGGGGCGTCTTAAAATGCTATGTCAAAGTGTTATATTTCTGTAGTGTGAGCATTAGATGGTAATCTCAGTCTAGAAAAGCTAATCATTTAAGCATAAGTGATTTTCTAGGGTTCTTATTGCCCATTGCTCTACTTGAGTGTGAAGTCATTTACACTTCAATTTCTATTTCATTTTCTGCTTACCACATTATTTACTTTCTTACTAAAGAAGAAGGCTATGTCATAGTGTTTTCCTTTTCTTTTTTTTTTAATTTTTTGTTTTGTTTTGTTTTCGTTTTTCAAAACGGGGTTTTTCTGTATAGGCCTGGCTGTCCTGGAACTCGCTCTGTAGACCAGTCTGGTCTTGAACTCAGAAATCTGCCTGCCTCTGCCTCCCAAATGCTGGGATTAAAGGTGTGCAGGTGTGCAGTACTACTTGGCTGTAGTGGTGATTTTCTAGGTGGCAAAACATGAGACTGAGTTTTACTTTTCACAATCTGAGGTCCTTATGCTAACCTGACTTGTCACTCCTACTCTAGGCCCTCATTTCTAGGGTTAGTCCTGAGTACTACTAAGTGAGCAGTGAATCAGTCTTTGGATACAAGTAACTGACATGTGATTTGAATTTCTTGTTCCTTCAACTTTAAAGGTTTTTGGTTTTTTGGTTTTTTTTTTTTCTTTTTTCTTTTTTTTTTTTTTTTTTTTTTTTTTTTTTTTTTTNTTTTTTTGGATTTTCGAGACAGGGTTTCTCTGTAGCTTTTGGTTCCTGTCCTGGAACTAGCTCTTGTAAACCAGGCTGGCCTCGAACTCACAGAGATCCGCCTGCCTCTGCCTCCCAAGTGCTGGGATTAAAGGCGTGCGCCACCACCGCCTGGCTAACTTTAAAGTATTTTAAGACAAGCATGTTATCTCATGTCTGTGACCTCAACACTTGGGATACTGAGGCAAGAGGATTATTGTGAGTTCAAGCCAAGCTTGGGCTACAGATTCAGATTTTGTCTCAAATAAATAAATAAATAAACCTCCTTAAGATTTTAGGAGACATTTGTTTCCCATGTCTATTACTGTTCTGCTTGTGATGAGCTTAGTGTCAAGAAGCCACGTAAAGGAGGACAGATTCTTTTGACTTTCAGTCTGAGGGCCTACTTCATCACTGTAGGGATCATGGTAGCAAGAGCAGCTCTCAGCTATAATTCGAGAGTCATCCACCCCGAGAAGAGCAGGAAGCAGAGAAAGGTGAATATCAGCACTCAGCTAGCTTTTTCCTTTTCCTTTTGTGTTATTTAGTCCTGGGCCCTGGGACAGCATAGCCCACATTCAAGGTGAGTCTGTCCCCTCAGTTAAGCCAGTCTAGAGACACCATCACGCACATACCCAGAAGTGTACCTGATTAACTCCTCCTTGTTTTTAATTCAGCCAAGCTGACCATCAAAATTAGCTGGCACCCCGAAATATAATTTAATTTTTTTAGGGCTGACCGAATGCTGTCAATAATATACAAAATGAGTGAGAGCAAAAAAAGCTTAAATGTCAGTGGGGAAAATCCTTATTATGGTATTGGCTTCTTAATTTGAAACATAGCTTTTACTTTACTTTTAAACTTATTTTTTCTTTTTCATTATGACCTAGGATTTTCCTAAACCCAGTGAAGAGAAGATTAAGTTGATTCTCAATCAAAGTGCCTGGACTTCTCAATCCAATGCTTTGGCATCTTGCTTGTCTAGACTTTCTGGAAAATCTGAAACTGGGAAAACTGGTCTTGTTAACCTGGGAAACACATGTTACATGAACAGTGTTTTACAAGCATTGTTTATGGCTACAGAGTAAGTTTACTTGTGAGTGTTCTGACTTAACTAGAAATGAATACATGCTGAGAAGGCAAGAATCACCCCTCCCATGGAAGCGGCATGAATGTTGATATTGCCTGTAAAAAGACTTTCTCTGTCCTGATAGCCAGCTCCCAAATAATACCACAGAGACCTCTTATTAATTATGAAAGCTTAGGTTGTTTGTAAACGGTGGTTTTTCTGTCCCACCCAGTCCCACAGCCACTTTTAAAATAATCACTCAGAATCTTAATATTAATTACAAACCATTTGGTCTATTGCTCAGGCCAGTTTTTGGCAAGAAGAAAACAAACTCCATATGGGGTGTTTTCAGTACCCATCCTGCTCTCAGAAGTAGATCAGTGCTTCCAGGAGCAGATGTGTCTCACACCAAAAGAATTCTAAGTTATTAAAACATTAAATGCATATTCTATAGGTCTTTGAAGTGTTTGAAGATGCCTGTCTATCTAAAATATATCAGTCTATCTAGAAAACCTAACTAACATGACCTTAAGTTTGACTATTATAAATCTGTATTTCTTATACATTTTTAACTGTGCTGTATAAACACAATACCTTAAACAAGAGTAAAAATACAATATAAAAAATTAACCTTAAATTTTTATCAATAAACTAAAATCCATACAAATGTAATTTTTTTCAAGATTAATAGTTGTTTATTAGATTAAAGTAGATTTAATAATCTGCCCTTTTCCCCCATTTCTGTCATATCCCTCTTCTAGAAAGAAATTGACTATGATCAATAACAATTTATAATCAACCCTCTAAATGAAAACAAACATTTATAAACAATATTTTGAGAATTTGGGAGTAGTTCTTTAAACTACCTCCTACTGATTGGTGAGTGCTGGTAATCTTGAGGAACCCTGAGAAAATTTAGAATTATGGGTAAATCTTGGCTGTAGTAGTCTCTGAGGCAACATAATCTCAGCCAGTTGCCTTGAAGCTGTTCTGGATGTTGGATCACCTGGGCATCACTCCCCTCAGAGAACTCTCAGGGACTTTTCCTTGATCAAACCATATTAACCTGGAACTAATTCATCTTATCTACTTATTTATTTAATTCATCTTATCTGCTTATTTGTGGAAGCAAAAACAATACCAAAGCTACATATTCTAGACCCAAATTTTGAAGTCAAGAGACCATTAAAATATATATGTTGGTTTAATTTAGCAGCCCCCAAAATCAAATGTTTCTCAGCAATTAGCTCATTAACACTTAAAAAAATCAAAGAAAACACAATAATACACATAATCAGACTCTGCATTTTCCATTTTTACATGGCTTATTATAATTTTTATTACTCTATTCCTTTTTTAAGGACCTCATTTTATTATCTTTAAATATCTTCTAACCTATGACTATGTATATCCTTTCTCCTCTCTCTCCCAAGCCTAAGCACATTTATCAAATACACTGTGACCCGTTTAGAGGCTTTCTGCCTAAATTTGGCCTTACTGTATATGTGTGTTATTTTTGAATTTTTGATCACAAGATGGATCCTAAAAGTACGATGTTAGCTGTCTATACTGCTCAGCTTAGTGAGTGATGCTGACACATGGTGGTCGAGACCTCCCCTCTATTTTCTGAGTGTCTCTTGTCGGGGGCACCAGCGAGACTCACTGCCCCAACTCTGGGCAGCAATACTAAGTAGTGTGCAGCCTGTGTTCTTACACCACAACTGGCTCTCAAGCTCTCAGTGGCTGGGAGAAGCCTCTTCACTGTGCAGCCCATGAGAGACTGTGGGAGTCCGCCATGTTGCAGCTGAGGCCCACTGTGGCCAGGGGATGCAGTTCTGTACCTAAACCCAGAATGAAAGACATGAACTATGAAGTTGCTCTTGGCTCCATTTTTATATGTCTAGAACCCTTTTTTAAACTTTGTTAGGTCTTATATAGAAATTCCAGGTCCATGTTGAAGCAACATATGTAAACAGGCTTTTTTCTTTTCCTCACCCAGTCCCTCAGCCACTTTTAAAATAAACTCTAAGAGGCTCAATATTAATTATAAACTGTTTGGCCTATTGATCAGGCTTATTACTAACTATCTCTTATAACTTAAATTAACCCATTTCTATTAATCTCTATGTTGCCACATGACTTTATGGTATTACCTGTTCTCTAGTACTTGTTGTTCCAGAGACTCTCTGGCATCTGCCCTGACTCTGCCCTTCTTCTCTGTGTATCTCTGCTTGGATTTCCCACCTGGCTCTATCCTGCCTTGCTATAGACCAAAGCAACTTCTTTTTTAACCAATGGTAATAAAACATATTCACACTATACAGAGGGGTTATCCCACAATACTTGTTCCTAACTAGCTCTTAAAACTTATATTAATCCATTTATATTAATCTACGTTCTGTCACCTCGCTTCCATATTGCACCTCCTGTTTCCTCTCTGTGTCTCCTGGCTCTGCTTCCCTGCCATGATGTTTGTTACTGACCAGATGTGTAAAAGAGGCATGCTCCTTTACATTCCTGAATTTACTTTCGAATCAATTTTCTTTTGTAAGCAGGAAATCTGAAGTCAGTTTGTTGTTAGCTGAGTAGCATCCTTGTACTGGAGGAGTAGCTCAGATGTAGCTCGAGTACCTGCCTGGGGGCATGAATCCCACTGTTGATCCCTAGCACCTCATAAAGTCAGGCTTGGTGTTGCACATCTATAATCTTAGCAGGCACAAGGAGCATACATTCTTGGTGATCCTCATCTATGTGGTGTGTTCAAGGCTAACCTGGACTACATGAGGCTCTGTCTCAAAAAAAAAAAAAAAATTACTGCCCTTGCAGGTACAACATTATTTTCCTTTTAAAAAAAAAAATGTATTTTTCTCTTAGTGCCAATAGAGTTGAGCTGACTCCAAGATGGGAGATGTTAACACCCACCTGGAGGCATCAGGCTCTTATGGGGGCTTAGCTTTAGGTTTCTGTGTTTGTCCCTGATTATAAGAACCCGGTAGGGTTTCATTAGGTTTTGTTGTTGGTTGGTTTGTATTTGGCAACTTTTGTTGTTGTTTTAAATAAAGGTGTACTCTTAGACACAGGTGGCATTAGATCTAAGACTGAAGAATCCACATCTCGCCACCAGAGGTCACCTTGCCAGCCATCTCCTACTATGCAAAGTAGGGACCAAAAGCAACTGTAACTAGAAAGCATTGTGGTGGTATCTCAGAACAGGAAGAACTCTTAAGGAATGCATGAATTCTTATTCATGGTTTTAAAAACATACCCTCATAAAAACCAAGTGCATACATTCTCAAAAATGTCAGCTATGTGCATTGCTCCACATTATTTTTCTATAATTATCTAATACAAAAACAGTTACATATGATTAGTATGTGTCCACATACATGTTGAGAGAATCTTGTTGAAATTTTAGCACTTAAGACTTTTTTCCATGTGAGAGCAATGGATCTGTTACTCTGAGTGAGTAGGACATAGTTTTTATTTATATGTCTTTGCTTTAAATGTATTTGTTAATGTGGGATGGGAACATGTATGCATATCGTGACATACATGTAGAAACCAGAAGGAGTCCACTTTCTCCTTCCACCTTTAGTCATGGGTTCCAGGACTAGAACTCAGATCTCCAGACTTGTGTGGCAAAAGTACCTTCCCACTGAACCATCTTGCTAGCCTGACATCCCCTTACCTATACTTTTTTGCTAACCATCAGATAGTTTTGTTCATAGCGGACATTTCTCTAACCATGTGCAGATAAGGTTTTCTTTGACTACGACATGCCAAATTACTCTCCCTTAAACACTGTAGGGGTCAGATGAGGGTTGTTCACCCTGCAGACGCATGTGGAGTCCAGATGTCTCCTTAATTGCTTCTTCACCTCATGGCACTCATGGAACCTGGGGCTCCCTGCTGCAGCAGGACTGACTGGCCAGCAGGCTCCAAGAATCCGCTTGTCTTTAGCCCACAGTGTTGGGTTATGGGAGAGAAGCATCTTGCCCGTCTTTCACATGAGAGCTGCAGATGTGAGCTGAGGTCTTCACCTTTCCCACTGGCCATCTCCCCAGCCAGATTTGACCTTATGGACAGTATATGATTGTACCTGTGACCTTAAACCTCTGACAGCACTTGATTTAATTGGTCTTAAATTTTTCACAATTTGGCAAACATCATTCTTATTTTCTTATTTTTAGAAAAGATAGGCTCTTGCCCAGCCTGACCTCAAACTCCTGATCCTTCTGCATCAGCCTCTGAGGATTACGCACTACATGTGCACAGCCTGCTCACAGTTAGTTAGTCCTTGTGTTTCTATGTGAACATTGCTGGCCTTTGTGGAATTTTCCCTTTACTCAGAGCAGAATGAAATGAATGAGCTATTATTTTCTGTGTGTGTCTTTCTGTTGATGTTTTGTTTACTTCATGTCAATTTGTATAAATTCTGTATGATAATCCTGTGGTGTTTGCTTTCTTCCAGTCATGCAATTCAAATTTATAGTATTTTATTACATATTTTTGTTTTAATTTTTGTATTGTCTAGAGTTTAGGCCCACAAAAAAAAATCCCTTTTTACTTTGAAGTGATTTTTTTCTGATGTTTAACCAATTATTTCTATACTATTTTTGGAATAATTTGTCCCTTTTGTGTGTGTGTTTCTTCTTTTAGACTCTTGTTTTATTTGTTTGAGTAAACTCACCCTCTCCCTCCCTTCTTCCAGTGTTAGCCTGGAACTCACTCGGTAGCCAGACTGGCTTCAACTCATATTTTCCCTTTGCCTACTGAGTGATGGTTTACAGGTATATGCCACCAAACGTGGCTTGCATCATAATTCTTTTATGTTCAAGATTTACTTTTATTTAAAAAAAAAAAAAAGAAGAAGAAGAAGAAGAAGAGGTAGAATAAAAGCCAGGAGGCAGTGCACACCTTTAATCCCAACACTCAGGAGGCAGAGCAGAGGGATCTCTCTGAGTTCAGGAGGTCCAGCCTGGTCTACAAAGAAAATTGTAGGACAACTTGGGCTCTACAGAGAAACCCTGTCTCGAAATAGCATATAGTCCATCCATTTATTGTCCTCCTTCACAATATTACATGTGTATTACATTACATGTAAATATTAGCTAAAGGCCACCCTGTAAGTCAGGTAACTGAGGCTAATAATTCCCAAACCAGTTTCCTTTTAGCTTTTCTTGTAAAAAGTGCATGTGTATATGTATAACATATTTTGTTCTTTTTCAGTTTCAGAAGACAAGTGTTATCTTTAAATCTAAATGGGTGTAATTCATTAATGAAAAAATTACAACATCTTTTTGCCTTTTTGGCTCATACACAAGTGAGTATCTGTAATATGTACATATTTACTCCATGATAATGTTCTTTAAACTACACACTATAATGGGTCTTTTGAACTGCTGCAATTATCATCATGTCTTACCCAGTCCTCAGGGGTCCTGCCTGAATACCGAGCACACGTCTCATCTTCTGCTTCCCATCCCTGCAGATATATTGTTCTAAAACCACTATACAGAAAGTCTAATTTCCTGTCACTAAGCAGTCTTCTTCATGAGGAAAGAATTTTAAAACTAGGCTTAGTGGCAAACACCTGTCCTCCCAGCACTCGAAAGGCTGCAGTGAGCTCGGGACCTGTCTGGGCTGTGCATATAGCAAGACCCTGTCTCAAAAAGAGGGAGGAATGGGAAAGAAAAGATGTAAATGTGGTTGAGATTTCTTTTGGTGTGGCTTGATTTTTGTTTAGTTTACAGAGACTTAAATATATTGATATAATGAACAATTAAAATAATTTTGTAGTCTAGGCTTTTTTTCTCTTTGGTTTTTCAAGACAGGGTTTCTCTGTGTAGTTTGAGGTTGGTCTTGAACTCTGTTCATCTGCCTGCCTCTACCTCTAAAGGTATGCACCAGTCACCATGCCCAGCCTTTCTCTATTTTCTTTTATGTATCTTTCATTGTAATTACAGGTCTTTATAAATATTATTCATCTCGTAAGTCCTTGCATTAACGCTCTGTGGTGACCTTTTATATCCACAAATTAATTCAGGGAAATCATCTTGAGGCAGTGACTACAGGTAGTTAGAGCTGGAGTAAAGCAGGAATGATACTTGATAGGATTGAGTTCGGGGCAAGGCTTGTGTCCCTCATGCAAGCTGAGAAATATCTCAGGGATAATTTGCTTTGAGACAGGATCACATGTGACACAAGCTAGCCTCAAACTATGTAACCAAGGCTGGCTTTGAATTCCTGATCCTCCTGCCTCTGCCTCTTAAGTGCCAGGAATAACAGATCAAATATTTTTAAATGGGAAAAATAAAAACAGGATCAAGAAGTGACAATCATGACTTTAGAATTGGTAATACACTCATATGTTGTTTTTCTGGGAGAAATATGTTAACAAATTGACATCAAGACCAAAGGAAATGAAGACTGCCTCTTGGCCAGGTGTGGTGGCACACCCTTGTACTCTCCGTATACAGGAGGTGGGGCAAGAGGATCAGACGGGCAACAAAAGCAGTACTAAATCATAACCAAAACAAAAACCTCTCTCTCCTCTCCTATTGTTTTCTAGAAATTCAGTCATTTAATTATTTAACTAAATGTTTACTTTATACATAAACATGTATGTGTATTTATGCAGATATGTATACCTTATTTACTTATTAAACCAGAGCTATTAGAAAGAAAACCTTAGAAGGTTTCCCTGCTCTCAAGAATGAAAGAATAGCTTCATGGTGGAAGTGGTGGCACACGCCTTTAATCCCAGCACTTAGAAGGATCTGTAATCTATGTTGAAAAAAATATGTCTCCAGTTGACTGAGAAAAATGAGCTTAACTTGAAGTTGGCACCCAGCTAGGATTTTAACCTTTCTCTCTTTAAAGTGCTGTGAAACAACCCTGAACACGTAACATTTTCCTGGACTGAGAAGGCGCTGTTGCTTTATGCCACAGTATTTAAGATAGTGAGAGAATTCCAGGTATTCAGATCATAGTCAGGTCATTTCCTATGTCTGTGCAGTTCCTTTTTGTGAAAACATCTGGGATTTGAGCCTGATGGCCCCAGAGTCCATTTCAACTGCCTTTGTACTTCTGGGTGGGAGGGGATTATCAAGGTTCTAACAACTACTCCAAATGTTCCCATTTCACACGTGTGTGACTTACACCAGACAGAAAATTTCAGCTAAGTAGATTTAGATGGCTCCTAATGCTCTGTCACACCCCCTACACACACACACACACACACACACACATACAAACACACACCACTCATCAGTATCATTCTCACACTCAGCTTTTCAAAAGAAATTAGGGACTCAAACACATGCGTGTCATGGGGGATAAATGCCAGTGACGGAATGTTGAGTTAGAATCATCTGAGACCTTATGTAATCACCCTGCTGTCCACTTGGCTGAGCTAGGCCCTCAGCTTTCTGGACGTCAGTTCTCTGCAGAATTCATTTGTGACTGAAGGTTGCTTAACATAAAAGTTTCACTGCCTGAGTCTGCACCCATTCCTGTCGTGTCTCCGTGCACATGGAGTGCTGCAGAGCTGTGAGCCGTCTTTATTAAGGGTTGTGTTGCAGGTTCAGTTACTGGTGCGCCGTAAGAGTCACTGTCTTGCATTCTTCTTTCTGCTGTCAAGAGGGAAGCGTATGCACCCCGGATATTTTTTGAGGCTTCCAGACCTCCGTGGTTTACTCCCAGGTCGCAGCAAGACTGCTCTGAGTACCTCAGGTTTCTGCTGGACAGGTACAGAGTATTTTAACTTCCTCTAAACTGTCTTCTCAGTGCTTCGGTGCCACTGCGTGCCGAGTTAGCTTTAAAGCACACTTTTTCAGAGTTGATCTCTAAAATAACCTTGGGTTACTGTGTGTTTTTAAGGTTTTTCTTTGTTTTTAATTTGGTTTTTGTTTTGGATGCTTTCACTTTAAAGTACCTGTTGAAAGATAGTAGAAGATTCATAAGGGACCCTAAAAAATCTGTTGAGTCTTCCCATTTTTTTCACTACATTTCTATGGGAACTCAGCTTTTTTTTCACATATTTCATCTTTAAAAAACAGATATCAGTAAGAAAGGTTGCAGTACAGCTACCAATATCCAGCTGTCTTCTATGAAGCTAGATGCTTACAAAGTGTGAAGGAGTGCCATTCATTTAAAAATGCTGCATATCGATATGTAATAAATTCATGTTTAAGTATTGTTTTATATATATTCTGTTTTTATATACTAAATATATGTACATACATGTGTACATATATACATTTAACCAACATATATATGCACATATATATGTACGTGTGTGTGTGTGTTGGTTACTTTTCTAACACTTGATAAAATACCATGGCCAAAATCAACTTTAAGGGAAAAGGTAATTTTGGCTCACAATTGCAGAGAGGCAGAGAAGGTATGGCAGCAGAAATTTAAGGTCGGCCTGGCAGTTGGGAAGCAGAATGAACACAGGAGGTGGGGCCAGGCTAGAAAGACTTCAAAGCTGAGGCAATGTACTCCAGCAAGGAAGGCTACACCTCCTAAATATTCCATGACCTTCCAGAACAGCACCAACTTGGGGTGCTGGTTCCTTAGGGTTTGTTTTGGTTTTGTTTTTTTTTTTTAATGACTATGAAGAGACCCTGAGACCAAAACCTCTTAAGAGCCAATTTATAATTTTAAGGGTTTGATAAGTTATAGTGTATTTTTACCACTTAATAATAAAACATATTATATCAGTGCATTTCTCTGTCTTTGTTCCTCTCTGTAGTATGACTGACTAGTAAAGTTAGCTGGGCTCAGCCTGCACAGCCTGCCTTCTTTCCTACAGTCAGTGGTTTCTTAGTGCTAGGCTGCCAAGACATCAGGCACATGGAGAGGTGTGTGAGTCAGCGCAGCAGCGATTGTAGTTGGCTCCAGTGGGACGTGGGCTATAAGACAGCAGTGCAGGGGCAGCAAAATAAACGTAGAGCGCTGGGTAGTCCTCTAAGGCTTTGCTGGACTCTACCGTTCATACTCTTGATGAAAAGAGGAGAAAACAACTTTAAATTGAGCTTTTTACTGGATTAAATTAACATATTTCTATAAGCCATCAAGATCTCAAAATATAAGTAGCATTAAACTTGGCTATGTGGTGGTGTACCCTCCTGCAGGCTCCATGAAGAAGAAAAGATCTTACGCGTGCAGTCCTCACATGAGCCTTCGGAAGGTCCAGGCTGTGCTGACACTTCTTTACAGGAAGTGGCCGGTAAGGCAGCTGCAGCCACGGGGTCTCCTGGCACCAGTGCCGGTGAGGAGAAGACTTTAGTAGAGAGGATGTTTGGAGGGAAGCTGCGGACCCATGTCTGCTGCCTGAACTGCAGGAGCACCTCACAGAAGCTGGAGGCCTTCACAGACCTCTCGCTGGCCTTTCGCCCTGCCCCTTCTGTGGAAGACGTGTCTTTTCAAAATCCAGCTTCCTTACCCAGTGCACAAGATGATGGCCTAATGCAGACCAGTGTGGCTGACCCAGAGGAAGAGCCAGTAGGTTATAACCCGGCTACAGCTGCTTTCGTCTGCGACTCGATTGTGAATGAGAGAGTAGTAGGCAGTCCTCCTGTTGAATTTCACTGTGCAGAAAACAACTCTGTCCCTAGTGAGTCTGCAAAGATTCTCATCAGTAAGGATGTGCCTCAGAACCCAGGAGGTGAAGCCACACCTTCGGTAACTGACTTACTAAACTATTTTCTGGCTCCAGAAATTCTGACTGGTGACAACCAATACTATTGTGAAAACTGTGCCTCTCTGCAGAATGCTGAAAAAACTATGCAAATCACAGAGGAGCCCGAATACCTTATTCTTACCCTCCTGAGGTTCTCATATGACCAGAAGTACCATGTGAGAAGGAAAATCCTAGACAATGTGTCATTGCCACTGGTTTTAGAGTTGCCAGTTAGAAGAACTGCTTCCTTCTCTTCCTTGGCAGAAAGTTGGTCTGTAGATGTTGACTTCACTGATATTAATGAGAACCTAGCTAAAAAATTGAAGCCTTCTGCGACTGAAGAAGCTTTCTGCCCCACACTAGTGCCCTACCTGTTAAGTTCTGTTGTTGTGCACTCTGGGGTGTCCTCTGAAAGTGGACATTACTATTCTTATGCCAGAAACATCACAGGTACAGAGTCTTCATACCAGATGTGCCCCGAGTCTGAACATCTGGCATTAGCCCCCTCCCAGAGTTGTTTACTAGGGGGAGAAAGCTCCAGTGCAGTCATTGGACAGGACTTGGAAAATAAGGAAATGTCACAAGAGTGGTTTTTATTTAATGACAGCAGGGTGACATTTACTTCGTTTCAGTCAGTCCAGAAAATCACAAGTAGGTTTCCAAAAGACACAGCTTACGTGCTTTTGTACAAAAAACAGAACAGTGCTAATGGCTTACGCGGCGACAATCCAGCCAGTGGTGTCTGGGTCAATGGAGACCCACCACTACAGAAAGAGCTAATGGACGCCATAACGAAGGACAACAAACTGTATTTACAGGTGAGTTGCAAATACAAGTGTCATTTCTGGACAGCATAAATAATAGGAAGTTACTCTGATGCTCTGATTTTACACGAACACATTTTCCAGGGATACTGAAGCTTAAGTCTGGATTTATATCTTTCAGCTTGTTGAAAACGTAGTGTGGAAGGTGCCAATTATATGAATATAGAAGGCTGTTTGCCTTCAGAGCTCTGTCTCGGGTGTTTATTAGAGAAGATTATAAAATCATGCCATACAGAAACAGTTTGATGGAATGTAAATGTCCTGCTTCCCCTGTCCCTGAGTTCCACCGCAGGGAAAACAGCTGCTAACTTTTCTGTTTTTATTTACTGTGGGGAGTGGTGCACACATGGAAGTCAGGGACAGCTCTGTAGAGCCAGTTATCTCTTTCCTCCTCTCACGGGGTCTGTTGCACCAAGACCTTAGGCCCGCAGAGCAGACACTCCAAATCACCTCACCATCCCACAGCTCAGTTTGATGCCAATTCCTGCAGGCTCTTTCCTGTAGTGTTTTAAGGAACATTTCTTGGCATTCAGATGGATCAGATGAACTAAAATGAGCATGTGAAGGGTATCTGTTCTTCAAGGGTCTGCCACAGAGCCAAGGCCGATAGAACATGTATAGAAAGTAGAAGCTGTGGACTAACATTTCATGAGAGATAAATTCATCTATGAATATTTTTTAAGAAACTTTCCTTTATTTGACTGTGAAATTTTCAAACTTGTGTCAGCAAAAAGAGCCAGCAGAAGCTACGAGTGGTGGTGGTTTTCGTACACCTGCAATCCAGCACTAAGGAACGGCAGGCAGGAAGGTTGCGAGTTGGAGACAGCATATGCCACATAAAGAAACCCAGTCCCCAAAACAAAAAAGGATCAGCACTAATTCACAGATGAAATTATAGGAGTAATGAGTGGCTAGTTCAAATAATTCTATGAGCTTAAAGGTAACTTTTTAAAAGTTTTCTGTTTTAAGTTCACAGAACCCATAAAATATTAGAAGGGAATAAATGAGCCATTAACAGATTTTTATGGAAAATTTTTTTCAGAGGCTTTCAAATTTACTGAACTATAAAATATCCAAAGGGTGATACATGATAAATTTTAGAGGGGTATGGCAATGTTTTAGAGTGTTGCAAGCATTAATTGACTTTATAAAATAATCAGAATTTTAGAACTGGGCTGTACCCATTCTCGTGGCTTCATATCCAGGTGAAAAAGCAGGACGTGTCCATCTCCCTGGCCTGTGTCGCTCGACATTGTGAATCACCACAGTGTTTAGAGGTCGAAGAGGGAGAAGGAAGGCCCACTACACCCTTCCCTTGTAAACAGATTATCAGTGTTAGGAGGTTTAACCGTCATTGAACTGGCAAGCATGTTTTATGGCCACAGCTGCTCCTACTTGGAATGCAGTCCAGATCCTTGTGTTCTGGCTTACCCATTCCCTCTGGCCACATGGCATTTGAGCATGAGTGGCCCTTCTTTTCCCTGTTCTTTTAGGGTCCAGTTTTACACGCTGCCCGATGACTGTGCCATTATCTATTCACAATTGCTCTTTGTAAAACTAAATAATAACCTTTTTACAGTTTTTTTGCATGAGTGTGTGTATATATACACACAACGTGTTGTTCACATGTGGAAATGAGAACAGTTTATGGGGGTCATCATCACTTTGCCATGTGGGTTCCAGAAATACTCCAGGCCAGCTCACCTTCCCAGTAACTACTGTTCTAAAATAAGAGTATTAGGATTTATTCAGCACCTAATATGCACTTGGCACATAGACAGAGATCTCTGATTTCCTGGTAAGCACTCTGTTAAACTAGTAGGAAAGAGTCCTAAGTCCCACTGTAAGAAGATAGCTTCATTTTACTTATCAGTGTTCCTTGAGATTTGCCTGACTCCTTAAGTAGACTAAGGGAGCGGTAGGGAAAATCCGGGCCTTTAGTAGTGTTGCGCTCAGACAGTTCCAGACTGCGTCATAGCTGTTAAAGACTGCCATCGCATTAGGAGGTTTCCCAGGAGCTTCCCCTCCTTAGCTGTTAGGTGAAATAAACAGCAGCAGTGGTTTTCAGGGTCTGTCACTCTACAGCTAACTACAGGAATTTGCCTCTGCCTTGTTTCCTCCAAAGGTGGTTGTATACACAAAGGTGGTTTGTGTGCCTAAGTGATAACTACTTTTAAAAAAAAATGATGCCAGTTTTTATTTAATCATTTTTGATTTTTCGACACAGGGTTTCTCTGTGTAGCCTTTGCTGTCCTGGAACCCTCTGTAGACCAGGCTGGCCTAGAACTCAGAGATCCACCTGCCTCTGCCTCCCTAGTGCTGGGATTAAAGGCATGCGACACTATGCCTGGATTGATGTCAGTATTTTCAAATGAAGGGTACTTGGTAAAGACTAAGATGGTTTTAGAAGATTTGTATATGTGCTGTATTCATCCATTGTATATAGCTTTTTAATTTCATAAACATTACTTTTAATTTTAGGAACAAGAGTTGAATGCTCGAGCCCGGGCCCTACAAGCTGCATCTGCTTCATGTTCATTTCGGCCCAATGGATTTGATGACAATGATCCACCAGGGAGCTGTGGGCCAACTGGTGGAGGGGGTGGAGGAGGATTTAATACAGTTGGCAGACTCGTATTTTGACCCTGAGAGAATTGAAAATGCATCTGGTCACAAAACATCCAGTACTATGGCTGTTAAAATGTCAGGCTGTAACGGATAGCATATCTATCTTTTATTTTTCTTTTCATTAGACCCAAATATTTTAAGAAAACACACTCAGTGTTTTTATTTTCTTGAAATACAAAATGCATCATGGAAAAAAAAATCTACCTCTTAAACTTCCATTTGCATTTATGGTTAGACACGCTTGACCAAAAATGTTGAGAGGAAAAAAGCATACCTGGTCCCTAATTAAGCTGCATTAGATTTGGTAGAAGGATTTAAATGGTGGATTTTCAGTTTTACTGAACGAAAATAATCCAGTTAGCATTCTTTATAAAAGAATTGATGCTAGAGTTTCAATATATATATTGTTTTAAGAAAAATGAAAATCTTTGTTTCTGGTAGAATTACCCCATTATTAAATTCAAGTCTTTGGAAACAGTAAAGATGACCAGTCTCTGGAGGCAATAACAGTTTAAACTTCAGCTGCCAGACTTGGGGCCTTCTGCGCATGCTGTCCTCAGCATCGCTCTTGGTTTCAAGGACTAGTGTCTTTTAAAGGATATTTACACACACATGGTGAGTGAATTTACAGAAGGTGCATGACCCTGTAAGGGCAGTGTTTTTAACCTGACTTTGTAGTATTTCCAGTTGTCCAAGGACTTTAAAATCCTGTTTTAGGGAGTGTATCTCTTGTGTGTTTCACAGGAGTTGAGTCCTGTATGTGCCTTGCAGTACTGTAATTCAAACATAGGTATCTTTGGCTGCAGAAAGTTTTCTAAAACAAAATGTTAGGAATTAAATTTTGTGCTAACATTAAAATTATAATTTTTAAAAGTATTAGATTTTTTTTCAGAAGTAAAATCTGATGATTCTAAAGCAGTGAGTGCAATGGTAAATTTCTAACTCTTAGAAAAATTCAGAGGAAATGAAGCTAGTTTAAGTAAAAGATCTTCAATTGATTTGTTACTGAATCCTCAAAACATTAAACATTGATAATATGTTCAGCGTTGTATATTTGGGATTTTTTTCTTTATTTGAGACTCATGCCTTATAGTCTCTGCTTCAGAGAGTACTCAAATGCCTCACCCCGCCATCCCTACCCCCTCACCCCGCCATCCCTACCCCCTCACCCCGCCATCCCTACCCCCTCACCCCATTATCCCTACTGTTCTTTTTGGTTCTGGGTGTTTTTTGTATGGGGGAGGGAGGGTTCTTTTTATTTTATTTTGGCCTGGAAACTGGAAACATGTCAGTCCTCCTGGGTCCTGATTATACAGTACTCAAGCGTTGTCCCAAATACCCTTTTTCCTGGCTCTTTTAACACATCCATGGCCATGTATTGTTCTGAAGATTGATCGTGTGTTTATTTTGAAAACACTGTAAGGAAATAATGGCCTTTGGTGACCTGAGGTTTATCTTTCCCCAGCTTCTGTGGCAGTGAATAAGAATAACTCCTCGTCTTCATCCTGCGGCCCCCACCCTCCCTGTTTCCAGTCACCAGGGAGACTGAACACAGCCTGTTAGAGCTGGCTTCCTCCAGACCTGACAGTGCTTTCCCTAGGTACCCTGTGTCCGTCTCAGCACAGGCTGAATGGTGACCACAACCAGATTGTGTCCGTCTCAGCACAGGCGGAATGGTGACCACAACCAGATTGTGTCCGTCTCAGCATTGTGGAAACTGGATTAAAACTGGGTGGAGGTGCTTCTGGAACTTCCACAGAGGCAGTAAGCTCCCACTTCTACCTGTGACTGTCAAATATTTCAAGGATTTTATGTGTCAAAACATGATTGCAAATGAGAAAGTGTAAATTCTAGCAGTAGTACTAGGATTATGCAAATTTTGGTCGGATAACCAGTACCAAAGTTGAGGGCGTTAAGATGAGAAATATTGCTCACTAACAGCTTCCCGGATTCATGTGTTTGGAAATCTAGAAGCCCTTCAGCTGAACTTAATAAGGTGGCACCCTGCACTGACCTGCCCCTCACACATCTGTTAGTGTGCCTCATTTATACACTGTCACCAGGCCTCTCTGTCTCCGGTACCTCCATGTCCTTCCCATGCTCTTTGTGAATGTTGTTGAGCTCTCGTGTTAAAGACAGAGCAGAGGACCATTGGTATTTCTCTTCAGTTCAGTGCAGGACAGATCAAATGAAACTACCATCGCTGCTAAAGAGAGTAATGTGTTAGGCTTCACTATGCACCAAATATAAAGCTGAACATGCAAGTCTGTGCCTTTGAAAGATATCTGCTGATACTGCAGAAGTTGGGATATTTTTCCACAAAGGAATAGGCAAGAAAGAAAATCTATATAGGGAATGATCCTGCAGGCCCTTTAATATGTCTGTAGTAGATGGATGTACAACTCCTGACATTTACATAGCCAGCTGGAGGGATGATCCTGGCTCATTCTCCAAGTATCCTCCATTTGAATAGCCAGAGACTGTCTATACCTTAAGATGCCATTAGAATCCTTTGATGGAGAGACAAGAATCCCTCTTTGTGTCTTAGAGGTCCTGGGATCCTTATGACAGTTTTAAGCAGCCCATTAAATCACATCAGGGGAAAAAAAAATTTAGTCTTAAATCTATAATAACGGGAGTCAGTGTATAAAGGTGCTTGCCACCGATCCGGAGGACCGGACTTCAATTATTCCATCTTCATGATCCACCTGATAGACAGACCCAACGTCCACACACATGCCATGGCACAAGCCCACCCGCCCGCATACATATACACACTAGAAATAAAGATGTATGACTTCCTTTGCTCGTTTAAGTATTTCAATGATGGTGTTTTCTACAAAAATACTTCTTTTCACATACTACGCCTTTAATTCTGTCCTTCAATAAATGGAAATTGGAAGCTTATTCTGTGCCCAGCACACTGTAAGAAAAAAAAGTTGGTACAGTTTGTCCAGTTACTAGAAATCAACACTTTGCCATTTGTTTTGTTCAAAGTGTGTACATCACATAGTATAATTTATATATAATCTACATATACTTTTTAGTATATGTACTTTTTAGGGGGTGTTTCAAAGAAAGTAATACCATATATTTATGTACCATCCTTTATCAAGGGTGCTGTATGTGTACAGCACTGTGTATATATATGGGCTGTGGGTATAGTTCAACTAGCAGAGTGCCTGACTGGTATTTGAAAATCTCTGCATTTTATTTCGAGCACCCACCCATAAACCAGTCTTAGTAGCCCACATTTTTAATCTCAGTGGAAACAAGAAGATCAAAAAGAAGCCTGGGACAAAGGAGCTCCTGTTTTTTGTTTTCTGTTTGTTTTTTTTTTTTTTTTAGATGTGCTTTATATATTTCTTTGTTTATAGTATTTTGTTTCTATTGAGTTTGGATTTGTGAAACTATTCCTGAGGCGGGAAAGGTTAAGTTATCTGTGTTTTATTTTAAAATACCCAAGAAGTGTTGACTGTTACTAACCCTTGAATGACAACGCCAGAAGAGTCCTGGAACAGAGAGAGGCTCAAGTACCCAGGAAGTCAGAAACAGGAGGCATCCTAGATGAACCAGGACGCTCGCTGTGCACAGACTGAGCAGACCTGCCCAGCTGCTGCTTCTCTGTTGGGCTCATTTCCTTTGCTAAGTCACTGTTTGTACAGAGTCCTTTTTTAAGAAATGAATGAACCTCAAAATAACTAGGGTTTTTTTTTTTAGGTTTTGTTTTTTGGGGTTTTTTGGTTTGGTTTTGGTTGTTTTGGATTCAAAGTAAACAGTGCTTTTAAAAGATCCCTTGTTTACTGCAGTTTCCCCAGGCAACGATAATTTCCTATAGAAGTAACTTTCAAAGAAATGAGAATTAACAGTTCTATAAACTCAACAGTCCAAGTTTCAAGGCATTCAACAGTCATTATGTAAAACCTTTAGCCCAGTGTTACATAACCAGTGTGGATTTAACACTAAAAATAGAATCTAAGAGTCAGCCAAGTGTACTGCCAGCTCTTGTCAGTGTCTGTTAGAGCCTGCAGTTGTTTTTCTCTTAATAGATAGATTTTGCCTTGTGTGCTACACACCAACACACATATAAACCCCATACACTTGCCCCCCACGTCGATTTGTGGGGGGATGAAACGCTTGTATTCACCTGCTAGATTACTGGGATGGGGGTTGTTGGGTTGGTTTTTTGCTTGTTTGTTTTCCACAGTGTGCTCTTATTAAAATCACTTGGAATTTGGGTGTAGAGTCACACACCTGTAATCCAGGCTCTTAGGAGGCAGACGCAGGTGGATCTCTGTGTTCAAGGCCAGCCTGGTCTACAAAGTGAGTTCCAGGACAGCCAGGGCTCTGTAGAGAGATCCTGTCTCAAAAAACAAGTCAGCCAGGTGGTCACAGTGCCACACACCTTCAATCCCAAAGAAGCAAAGGAGGAGCATGGCTATGAATTCAAGGCCAACCTGGTCTACAGAGCTAGAACCAAGATGGCCAGGGCTACACAGAGAAAATATAAACAGCAAAAAAAAAAAAAAAGTCACTTGGGAAGCTTTTTAGAAATGATCCATATCGAGGCCTCATCCCAGACCAAGTAAATTATGTGAGCACAGGACATCTTCATATGAGGACGTGGATTTAATGTGAAGGCTGGGTTGACTTAGGGCCAGAGGAGGAGTCTTCTTCCTGGGGCTTTCCTCCGGGAAAATTATCATAAGGTTAAGTGTTCATCTGTGTACTGTATAGTGGCAGATTTTTTTTTAATTCACACTAGCTCCATATTATACTCATGCCCATAAACAACAGAGTGAGGATTTTACTCACGTCTTCAAAACTATGGTCCCCAACAATTTTTCAAGAATAAACATCTAGAAAATGCATAATGATCAAAATTACCATTCAAGTTACCAGGAAAATGTCTTTTCACTCACACTCAGGTAGAAACCTACTAGATCTAAAAATTAATGGGAAAAGAGGGAAAATGCAAACTAGAAGCTTAAAAGAAATGTAAAGAAAAAAACGTGTGGAGAGAAATGGAAGATCCAAGAGTAAACAGTAGAAAGCTCTGAAGCTCCCTAAGCCACCATCTTGTTACTTAAAAGCAGTAATAGAGGACTAGAGAAATGGATCAGAGGTTAAGAGCACTGGTCCTGAGTTCAATTCCCAGCAGCCACATGGTGGCTCACAACCATCTGTAATGAGATCTCATCTCCTCTTCTGGCCTGCAGACAGAACACTATATGCATAATAAATAAATAAAATCTTTAAAAAAAAAAAAAAAGAAGAAGAAGAAGAAGCAGTAATAGAGAAAATCCTCCAGCAGCCAGAGAAGAACATACATAGAACCAAGTTCAGCAAACTGTTCAGAGTTCAACTGTTCCAGAATTCAGGCCAGCTCTCTTCGTGAAGTCCCTGCTGACTTACATACTGTCTTTGTCTTCTTGTCTTCTTGCTACTATGGCAGGCCAAGTGCTGTGCACACTGTCAGAAGCATAGTTATCCAAGTTCAAAAATCTCGGACTCAGTAAAGACTAGGAACTGTCACCACACAAGCTAGAAGGCTGTAGAATGACATCTGCAAAACATGGGGGGGGGGGGGGGGAAACTCCCAGGAAAAGTATACAGGAAAATTTTCATAGCAGACATGAAATTTTTTTTTATTTTTTTGGCTAGGCAAAGAATTTTATCAACCTTTTCCCAAATGTTGTTATTCCCAAGCTTTGTCAGCTTAATTTGCAACAAAGAATGAGTTGTGTAATTAGCAAAAGCTGAAAAGAGCTGCAGTGTTCAGGGGGACCAGGCTTAAAGATATTAGAGAGCTAGATTTTATCAGATCCATACAAGAATTTTAAAAGCAGTCGTGGTGTAAAATGGCAGCTCCCGTAATGTCTGCAAGTATCACCTCTTTCCGAATTGCCTCTCCCCAGTTTCCCTCCTTAGCCTCGTCAGAATTCGCCAGATCTGGAACCTCATCATCATGCTCTCCGGCAGCCACAAGTGAGGCTCTTCATCCACAAACTGGGCAGAGGTTCACAGCCTCCAACTCTAGCCA